TTAGGGATCAATTCCCTTGACTGATGAATTCAAGATTTAATCACAAGTTTATCTTATACAAAATAAGGAAGCTTTCTTTGTACAATTTTTTGATAGTTGATGAAGATTTGAACTCTTTTCCAAAATTCATTAAAGATGAAGAAGGAATGGGCTTGATTTTCTATCTTTTTGACATAGGGAAACTACCTCATTGATGAAGACTTTGACACTTCAATTAGGCCAAGCAGGATTGCAATTGAATCGAATATTGCTCCTCAACTTGTTGTTATGTTGTTGTTTGACTATACTTCATAGACCGCTTAACTTTGCATAAAATTCTTTACAAAAATTAATAAAAAAAGTGAGAGATAACAAACATCCTAGGGATGATTATTTGAAATTAGTTAACTATAACAGAGATGATGAAATATAGAGAAACTTGATTTCGAAACTTCCCATATTTTTCACCATTGCTAGATATTAAAATTCTAAACTTACAAAGTTGAATAGCTGTCAATCAATATGACATACCCTTCAAGATTCAGATATCCTCAATGATAAATCACCATTCTATAACTATTAAGCATCCAAAGTTTATCAATTTCGGTGTGTTTGGTAAGAATTCATCATTGTTAAAAAAAACAAAAAAACATATCTACTAAAAAAGAAAAGAAAGAATTTTGCCTTTGAAACTAGACTAGATCTCCTCAAATAAGATACAAATGTAAAGTAGATATACTGAATAATGAAGTTAATATAAATGATCATTACTTCTGTGACATGATATCTCAAAATTATTTTTCATTGAATATTTAATAATAAAAATTTCAAATGCCCATTTAATAGTACAGATTAAATCAAGCTATTATTCATAAAAAATGATAAGAAGTAACAATTTCAAACCACAAACATCAATTACACTGATTAAACTTCTATACTAGTATTTTTCTTCAATGATTCATGTAAAAGATGATGTGGAAGTCATTACTTTTCATTAGTAACGATTCCTACTAGGATTTGGAAATTCCAATAATAAGTAAAGTGATGATTTTGATGGGTAAACTTATCCTAATTCTAGAATTTCAATATGAGACTAAAATTAATTAATTGAAGTATTGTATAGATATTTATCATCATTAATTTTTTTTCATGAATTTATATATAATTAATTTCATATTGGTGTTTAAGATGATATTCTTGTGTACTTCATTTATAGTGTTAAACTCCTATAAATTTGAGTAGTTGAATGTATCAAAAATTCACCTACTGCTGCTCAAGATCATAAAGAATATCTTGAGCTTATCTAACAACATTTAAAATTAAACAAGCCTAAGAGGTTCTTTGAGTTGAATCCAAATGAACAATAGCTTAAGCTGCTTTGTGGTTAGAGGACCTTTGAACTCAAGGCTGATCTAGAGCCTTAATCTAAGGGACATTAGCATTAGCTAATCTTTGTTGGTAACCGAGAGCTATGAATCTAGATAAGGAGAGTGACTCTCTCCTATTTAGTCCCCTAGAGTTGTGAATATAGAATAATGGAGTAGGTTCTCCTCTTTGATCCTTTAGAACCATAAATTTAGTGAACGATTCTTGGGTGGAATCATGAATTAGATAGAGTTTATTAAATCATGTGGAATCATGAGTTGTGTGGGGTTTATTAAATCATGTGTATACGGATGCTGAAACCCATCATTCAATGTGAATTTCACCAAAGATTTAGTAGAACCCAAAGAAGTAGTACAAAATTTTAGTTGAAAAGTATGTCTAGTGACTGAACCACTACAAAATAGCATGTGAAAAACCTCAATATCAATGTAAGTCTAGAAGCTAAAGAAGAGTATTAACTAAGAATACATTAGAAGGAAATAGTCTTATCAATTCACCTCTTGTTGATGTGATGTCATATAAAATCTGACAAACTTCATACTTGAGATATAAGCTTTGATATACTTCTCTACTGTCTAAACTTTATAAATTAAGATATCAACCTTGAAATATAGATTATCTTATAATATAATTTATGTATATTGAACAATTTGATAAATTAAAATATTATTCTACAATGTAAATTTTCAAATATTAAAATATAAACAAGTTTGATTTACTATTAGTAATGCAATTTTTCATCATTGATTTTTTCCTATTAAAAAATGTGAATGACCTTTGTTGGATTTAAGGTAGCACTAAGATCAAGAAAGGAGATTTGAAGTGATCGGATTCTAATTTGATTATAGATTAAATTTTAAATATTTTGTTAACCTTTTCTTCTAATCCTTGATTTTTATAGATATTTTTCATCTAAGTTTCAAGAGCATCAAAATTTTTACAGTAGTTCAGCCTCTTACCTATTCTACACTACCAAGAAAATCTAATTATTGGCTTCCACTAATTTCTTAGTGGACACCCACTAATTGTAAGGACTCAAGTTGTTTAGAAATTAAACATCATCTCTCTAGAGTCACAATTATATGTAGATCAAAGTTGATTGGGTAGATGAACTCCCTTGATGTGGTAAGTAGGACTTAATCACGAGACTTATTTTATAAAAACATAAATTACCAATAATGTTTTTTAAAAGTTGATGAATAAATGAATCATGGCCCCTAGAGCGCAATAGTTGATGTAGGTTAAATGATACAATCAATTTTAAATTAGTTCAAGTTAAATCCACAAGAATGGTTTGATTTATTCTTAATACAAATATCATTTTGTATAGAAATAATAATTTAAAATAATTAAATGAGAAGATTTAAGATATTATTTTTAATAAAATAAAATAAATTAAATTAGGCTTTAAGATGAATCTCCACTATCTCCCACAAGTTGACGATATCATGCTCGATCCACAAGACTGTGAATATGCTCCTTTGTGCTGGAGAGATAATATATAGAGAAGAGAGAGAGTAGGATAGGAGGGAGAGGGGAAGAGAAGGAGAGAGCAGATGACGTAAAGAGGAGGAAAACGAGAAAGACAAAAAGGGCAAGAGGAAGAGAGGGAGAATGTAAGAGAGAGGGAGGACAAGAGAGATAGGAGAGAGAGGGAGGAGGAGGGAAGAGGACATGAAGAGGAGAGGGAAAAGAGAGAATAAAATGACAAGAGGAGAAGAGAGATGAGAGGAAGGGAAGAAAAACGAGAGGAAGAGAGGGATAGCGTAAGGGGAAGAAAAAGGACGTGACGAAGAGGAGAACGATCGAGGAAGAGGAATGACGTGACGAAGAGAGGGAGAACGTAAGAGGAAGAGGAAGGACGTGAGGATGTGAGGATGAGAGGGAGAAGGATCAAGGAAGAGGAAGGATGCAAGGAAGAGAGGGAGAACGATAGAGGAAGAGGAAGGACGTGAGGGAGAACTTTAGAGGAAGAGGAAGAACGAGAGCGAGAGAGAGAAGAGAGTGACAATAAGAGAGAGGAGAGAGGGGTGATAAGAGAGAGAGGACGATAGGAGAGAGAAGAACGATGCGACAGGAGAAGAGGGTAGAGATGACCAATCAAAGGGGGTTGACTGATCAAAGTTAACACGTGAGAGAGCGAGAGAGAGAGATAAAGAAATAAACAAAGGAAAATCACGAACGAGAGAGAGTCTTCGTTCGCGGAAGGGCAGTTTCGCCGGCGAGAGAGATTTTCAGCAAAAGGGGAGGATAAATCAACAAAAATACACGAAAAACAATTAAAAGGAAAGGATAATGGAGAAAAGAAGATGTGGAGGGGGGGAAAGAAAAATCGTTAGAAAAGAAAGGAAAAAGGTCGGAGGAGAGAGAAACTCACCGGCGGATAAGTTTTCCGCCGGCAAGAGAGAAATCACCGGAAAATTTGATATTTCCGTCTACAATGAAAAATCGACAAAAAAAATAGGAAAGGGGTAAGGAAAATATTGGACGGAAGATCAAGAGGGAAAAAGATTCAGAAAATGATAAAATTCATCAGAAAGGAGAAGAACTAGCACCGGACAGAAGTTTTTCGCCGGGATGAGAAAAATCATGATTTTCGGTGAATAAAAATGACAAACGATGATTAAAAGTAAACAGAATATCCATATCTAATGAGGAAACAATCAAAACAAGGGACTGAAGGAAGGGGAAGAGAGAAAAACTTGCTAGAACAGAATGAAGCGAAAAGGTTAACGGAATGAGGGATTAGTAATGTAGCTTAGAACGGTGAAACTGAAGACGAGTCCGAAATTAGAGACCCAATCAATTGTGGATTCTAGAGTTGAAGGCTCTTGTTCTATGGATTCAGAAGCCAATTTCTCCCTTAAATTTCGTACTTTGTGGATTCAAGTCTTATCTCTACCGTCCGCTGCAACATTGCGTCAATTAGAGAACATCAGAACAGCTGCATGGAAAGTTAGGAATGTGTAACAGCTAATAGAGAGTAAAGATGAGGTTGGAGGAAGGAAGGAACACGTCGAAAATGAAAGAAAAGTGAATAACTCCTCCCATCTATCACTCGGGAAGAGAGAACAAAAGGCAGAGAGAGAAAGTCACAAAAAGTAAAGAAAAACTCAGAAATCAAAGATCTAAAACATCGATGAAGAGGTGGGGAATGATTTCCTACCCGTCACACATGAAAATATTTAGAGAGAGAGAGAGGAATGCTAAGAGAAAGAATAGCTGGGGAAAATGAAAGGAGAAGCGAAGACGGGGAAGAAGGGTAAGAGAAAACTTTTTTGTCTAGAAGATGTGCATGAAACACATATAAAAAGTTAGCGGTTGTAGAGGGGGACGTGACAACCTAGGACTGGCTCATGAATGCATAAGACCAAATTGCTGCTATTTTATACCCAAAATCTCATGCGTATCATGAATATAAAAAAATAAATTATTAAACGCCAAAACTTATTATAAACATAAATATAATTAAGAAATTTTAAAAAAATGATATCAAGATAAAAATATTTTTATATATATTATATATTCATGAAATAATGATAAGAATGAACAGTTTTATCTTGTTTTCACTGAAAACTATCATGCTATCAGCCCCTTGCCTTCTCCACTTTAGAATTTCAAACAAAAAATCTTTATCAGCACCATGTGTGTAATACATGAGGCTTAATCATGAGTTTTTTTAAAAATAAAATAAATAAATTATGGGGAACATATCTGAGGAGACAGTTAGGATAAGGAACTTGAAACACAGAGCCCGAGCAGCAGGCAGGTGAATGGTTAGTGGCAAATAGTGCCATAGTTGATGGCATTCCTCTCTGCGGCTGGCTCTTGAAGAACATTGAATCATGGCCAGAATCTGATGAAGAGGTAATCGCATCATACTTCATTATCTACTGCCTCTTCCTATCTTGAATCTACCAAAATGCAGAAGACATTGTCACTTAAATCATACTGAGGAGAATTATTTTGAATCAAGATTTGGTCCCCAACCTATTATTTTCTCATCATTGAAGTAAGCTTCGAATCTTGCTCATGTTTCCATTTAAAATACTTTAAAAATCATTTGAAGAAATTTGATTCATGCTCTTCCCCTATTTTTCACTATTCTTTATTGTTAAAATCCTATAGGTAGTTAGAAATTGGAATGGTCATAGATCAAAACCTTGCATCCTTCAAGAGTTCAGATATCCCGTGTATTTGAGTAATAACATAACTATTCATCCAATAATATATATATCCAAATGTATTGATTTAAATGTTACCAATAAGAATTTGCCAATTAAATCTGAATCGTCTCAAAATGAAAAGAAATGCAAAGAAAACTCATTGAATCTTCATAGCAGCACACTGACATAAATACTTTGCTGGTTTCTAGAAATTCAAAATCATTCTCCAAGGAATAACTTAAATGTACTATTTCCAACTTTTGAGAATCTAGTATAACATTGTAAGTTCCATATTGATATTTTACATTGATCATTTTAGCATTCTTCATTGACAAATCATTACTCTTCGATGATGGGATATTTCATAATTTTTAGTAGGCATATAGTTTTTGGGAAAATAATAATTTAAAGTATTTTTTGTACTTTTTCTAGTTTTCAAATCATTAATGTCAAGTATAATCATAGAATTCACATTTCACACTATTAAAATGTAATATAAATAAATAATTACTATAGTTCAACCATTCATTCAAATGTTCACATATATAAAGATCAACATTTATGATTATAATCATCATTTTGTCCATTTACCTTTCTAATGTTTGTCATCATCAAAACCTTTTAGAATCATGTAGGATCCTAGATCCAATACCCTTTTTGCATTATATTTTTAGGAGCTCATACTTATTTTAAGATTGTATTTTTTTTAACACAAACTATTATATTCAAAATAGTAGCATATAGTTCTAAGATATTGGGAAATGAATAGCCTTAAGTTTAATTTTTTTTGGATCTTAGAAGGCTAGATATGTATTTTACAAACAAGATTTTATAATTGTTTCATCTATCTAATCTAATATAGTTTCCAAATATTACATGTCATGCCCCTTGCTCTATTGAGGAAGGTTCTGGTAATGGAACCTCAACATGTGCCTAAGTAGCTCATAGAGATGCATACATGTGTGTGTGTGTGTGTGTGTGGTATGGCATGCATGGGCTGGCATCTCATGGATGAGAGCATGGGTGACGTGACTCAGTCATTGTATATTAAATCATGCAAATATAAAATTTATAAAACTAGAAAATACAAATTTTTAGATATTTATAAGTATTTCTAAATAAATATATAAATTATAATTCAATAAAACTTCCAAAAATAGTGGTAATTTTCCAGGTCGATCACATGGATGTAATATAATATCTGATAATTATTCAAAAAATTTCTCAATAAATATGGTTTTCTATAAATTTTAGACTAAGAAATGAAAAGGAAATATATTTAAAATTCACGAAAAAAGGAAATAAGGGTGCAAACGTCAGGATGACATCAGCGTCTGGCGAACGCAAATCGAGTAGAAATATAGTTATGCCCGACAATTCTTATGTAAGCGATTACATACGATTTAATTGATCAAATTAAGATATGTAAAAGCCAAAAGAATCGTAATAGAACAAAGTATATTTTGGTAAATTAAAAATACAAAAAAATATCACTAAATGAAGCGTAAAGTAAATTGAAAGTAGGAAAATAGAGTTTCGGCATTGCGACGGTGATGCATCGGTGATGTACCAATATCCTAAGCATTTGGGAGGATCGTTGTGTAGTGTTCACGACCTTGAAGGCTCTTTTTGGATAAAGACGACGTGGGCAATCTCTAGATCTTCTCGCGAAGTCTAGAGATCAATGAAGTGGGTCGTCAAATCGTCTTCGACGGCTGTCACCTGGCGGAGCGGAAAAACGGTGACTTTGTAGCTCTCTGGTAGTTGTCACCCGACGGAGAGGAGATGAATGAAGGTGGGGTGCATGTTAGAGAGCTTCATCCTCAGGTCTGTGCAACAAGAAAAGGCTCTTCATCGCATCTAGTATGTTCTTAGGAGGTGGTGACTTGTCTCATGGCAGATCGTCCTCTTCTCAACGACGGCTTATTCGTCGATCAATCGGAGATCATTTACTCGATGGATTCGCGATCCTTTTATTGCGAATCGTTCAGAAATTTTAGTAGCAATGCTCCGCGAATCGCATTGATGAGATTTTCGTCGATAATCTAGCGATTCTTGTTGCTTAATCCTTCACTAACGATCTATAGGAAAGTCACGATAATCAAATAAAAATATATGAATTTTGACTCTGAGAAGATTCAAACCCGCGCTGGTCGCCTGCCTGTGAGGAAGGTGTGACGCGGGTTTAGTCCCACATCTGTTGTGTGCCGATTTTTTGGGTGAATATATAGTAATGTTAGCTTTGTAAGCAAAGTCCTTCTCTCGCATGTACGACCACTCCTTGCCCCACAACCAGCTGGCCACCAGTGACATGGAAGGGGAGTGGCGCACACGTGCCCCTATTGGTCCAAGCTAAGTCGCTCGAGCCCCTACTCGCGGCTACTCCCCGACTGCGCTTTCGACCCACTTGCGGGCCCGGCTGGCCAGTGGGTCCCTCATTTTGCAATATTTTTATTTTTATTTCTTGTTCTTCATTTATCTCAAAAGTAAGACCGTAAAAATCATATAAAATCACATAATTACCTAAAAATTTATGTTAATCAATTGAAAATCACAAATCATTCTTTAACACAAATATAAGTCTATTTATTATGAGTTCAGGCTAAAACTATATTATTTACTAATTATTAACTTATGATAATGAAGACTTATCAATGGGGTTACATGGCACAACATGTCAAAGCACATTGAGGCACACAGGTGTGTGTCATGAAAGTAGTCAGCTCCATTAATGTGGGGGCAAGCTACTTCAAGGTTTCTTGTGAGTCTCACTAGACATTGGCATGGCACGACGTCAACATCAGCATAATATTATAGTGGGTGAAGTTCATAGAGCTATTTGGTGAACTATGATGGCGAATGTGGCAACATGCGTGTGTGCAGTGTGGTCGTAAGAGACACTAGTGGCGTGATGAGCAGCGTCATGTAACAAACGTATGTAGCAAGTAGGCTCATAATAATTGTGACAGCATAATTAGTGTTGACAAGTTATGAGGCAAATGGTATTATGAGGTAGGTGGCTAACAGGTACAAAAGTCATGTTGTGTTATTTGGCCCTTTATAAATAGTGGCATTTCTAGGTAGTGTTGACAAGGTGGGATGAGTGAGCATAGCACTTAGGTTCCCTCTTCACCCTATGAGTGTTGTTCAAGGAATAGTGTCATCCCCTTAGAAAGTTTTTGTGCATTCTTCCACAGGTCATGAGAGGTGAGGAGATTGCTTGGACATTCTGCCGAAGCATTTGAGGCATGGTTCTCAGATGTGGACCAATTGATTGTGTGATAATTAGTATTAGAGCACAGTTTTACTTACACTAAACTAGGGAGAAGGGATAGTATGACTTCTAAGGGTCACATGAAGGAAAAGCTCTCAATATTAGGTAGCATGGTCAAGGTGACAACGATTGTATCTCTACTTGGAGGAGCATATGGAGCAAGTCCGAGCTCTCAAAATATAGCTCCAACATGCCCTAGGATGATGATGGTGAGGTCAAGGTGCCACTAGAGATAGTTTGAGGTCTCTTTGTTAACATGACATTGGTTAATTAACTTTTAGTGATAGTGTTCTAGGTGGGTGATATTGTGTACTAGAAGGTGTCATAATTCAAGGTATTTGTAGGGATCTGCAATGCCCAGAAGTTGAACAACTTCTCTTAGGATCTGGAATACTATAAGGTAAGTCTAAAGTCTTGAAGGAAGAAAGTCATCTTGGCTAGTGTGTACTTGACAAATGATGTAGGTATAATTGAGGACTAGGCTGGAGGATTCGTCGCATTCCTCCATCGACACATGGGAAGAGTTCATCCAAGAATATATGGAGCAATTTTACCTTGCCAATTGCACTTAGATAGCATTAGAGTCCCTTCAGCATATAGAGAAAATTTTCTTTTCTTTTGTACATAATGCATATGTCTGAGGAGGATAAGAATTATGTACATCATTCACCTCTCCATCAAGATCTTCATGTACATTATTCAATTTGAGCATTCTACTTCATATCCACTCCCTTCCATAGTAAGCAAGAGAATGTATGATGGCTTATTCTATGAGGTAATCTTTCTACATCAAGAAATGATTTAATTAGTCGTGATTGCTATCATTTTTCATTTTAAAAAAATGAAATCTATCTTTGGGAAATTAAATGTAACAAGGTTTCATTACAAGTAGTCTCACTCGCATCTTTCTTGTAGTGTTATATTTCTAAATCAACCATAAGCTTCCAAACTTTGCCCCAACTCATCCCACAAAACATTTCAGACAAGCCTACCATTTATATATCCTCACACAAATGTTTAAGAAAAATAAGATAGATGTAGGAGATTTTTGGTAACCAAGCCACAAAGTATATATGCAACAATATTGCCTTGTATTCTTCGTTTTGATTAATGAAGTCAATATAGGCTTATATGGAGAATTATCTACAAGTCGAGCTCTACAAGAGTTATAAGAGAAGAGTGTTCTATTAGGAGGTATTATTATCTTTTGACTGGGGAGATAAACACTAGTCTCTATTATGATTGAAATTAAAAAGAAAGCACAGTTCTTAAGGGTCTTATATTGTGCACATGATGAAGGCTAGGTTCAGGTGTGATCAACTTGGTGTTCTTTCATGGAAAGTATTTTTATTCTGTAATTTTTTTATGT